TCCTGCTCTGTTCCTGTGCTACTGAGAGTGTAACTACCTCCGCCCTCTGCCCAGCGCAAATCACAAGGCTGGCGTGCGGAGTGAAGCGGAAAAAAGTGCGAGAGAGAGAAAGAAGAAAAAAACCACGGCTCCCAATAAGGAGCTGGCTTGCATCGTTCACGTCAGAGTCGGCTCTAAGAGCCGTTTCGTTCGCGGCCGACACATCACTCACTACCTCTATGGTGGGATTGCCGGTCTTAACTTCAGGATGTGTCTGGAAAGGTACCCATTTGTCTTTAAGTTTGTGTGTTCTTGGATATTTCTGAGCATTATCGAGTACAGTGAAGGATCCTTATGGTCGGAAGTATACTGTTATGTACTCCATTGTGTCTTCATTATGTTCCCACACTTGGGCTGCAATAAGAAAAAACACTTGTTTCCTACTCTATCTTCTGATTACGGTCCTTTTTATTTTTACCATTCCTCTTACCATAGCCTTCCAGCAGTCTGTGGTCATTTTCATTTATGCTCTTCTCCCTGCCCCTGTGTTCATCTTTTCTATAGCAAAGACCCTAAAAGCCCTCCCTGGCCTGTTGACACGTTGCTGCCATGCTTGTGCTGCTGCAGCAAGGACAACACTGCTGCCAATGTTAGTGATGATGGCAGCACAGAGGGATATGCTCATGAAGACAGAGACACATCAGAAGAAATGAAAAAGGGGTCACATGGTGGAGAAGATCGTGACAAATCAGAAAGGTGGTATAAGGAAATGCAGCCTTCTACAGCAGGAATGTCTAACTCATTTCACATTGTGGGACACTTTGATCTTAAATGAGCAGAACCAGTGAAACTCCCCTTTCTGTCACTTTAAAGGAGATCAGTAGGAAGCTTCGTGAAACCTGTAAAAACAGTTCAAAGTCCAAAATCTATGAACTTGCCTCAAGACCATAATACATAATACACCATAATTTGTCTGATTTTTAAAGAATTTATTTGCAGTGTGATTTTCTAGGTTTCCCCCCCCCCCCTCATTTTGTCTCTCATAGTTGAGGTACACCTATGATGAAAATTACAGGCGTCTCTCATCGTTTTAAGTGGGAGAACTTGCACAACTGGTGGCTGACTAAATACTTTTTTGCCCCACCGTGTTAATGAGTATCTCTACATGTCAGTTTATATGTATATATGTTTTTTTATTTATTCTGTTTGGTTTATTAATATGAGTGGTGGATCAGTTAAAGTGGTGGTTTAATTGTAGCCCAGGATAACTGTTGGGTGGTGATGACTTGTACAGGTGTTTGAAGGATAAACAAAGTTATGCTGACAAGTGGTGTTTTCTGTTTTCTGTGGTCATCTTCTGTCTTTTGTCAAAATAAAATAAAAGTATCAACCATTGAAAAAAATGGACTTCAAACTAGTCTATATGTGCAGTTTCTGCTGTTTATTCTACTGTTGGCTCTGCATCACATCATACAGAACGGCAATCTCAAATATGGTCCTCTCAGGGATGCAGAAACCCCAACCATTTGTTGTTCAAACTTTCTGTTCGTGAGGGGCAGCCAATCAGAAGAAACGTAATTTAAAGGAACAAAAATGATGTATCAGCATGGTTCCTTTGTTACCAATGTTGTTTAAGTGTGGCCTTAAAAGGAGGAGGGGCTAAAACAGAAAGGCTGAACGGAGGAGCTGGGGAAAGATACATGATCTGATGTCATGATCTTTATGTTGTTCTGGTTCATCAGCACTAATGTTGGTCCAGGTTCAACATTGCAGGTAACCAGTCACATTGCTGTGATGTCACAGTTTTGCGATGTGATGTTAAAACACCATCACGCCAAACCCTAACCACAGTCTTGTAACCCTAACCCTAAACACGATCACCTCCCAACTCTAATCCTGACCCTCTTTTGGATTTTTCCTGAGTGGACATCAGCATTTTTTTTTCCGCATCACAAAACTATTACATCATAACAATGTGGTTAGTCACTTGCAATATTGAATCTGGACCAACATTAATTATAACGATTCAGTATCATCGTCAATTTCAGCAAACACCCATCAATCCCCTGTATAAGATAAACAAGGGTAATTTTGACTCATGGAGTTGGAAATAAGCATAATACTACTTTATCATTAATACAAATATAGTTTTTAAGGCTACAGTTAAATGAGAAATGAAGTGTATACAGAGTGTTTGTAAACAAAGTGTGATTAATGTTTTGTCCCATTAGGTCTCAGAAGTAATCAGCACATGTACAAACTTCTTAAAGGCCGCTGGTAAACCAGCAGATGATGAGATCCATGACTTATGATTAAACTTGCACTTTTTTCCACACAAATTTATTAAGAGAAACAAAGCATTTCAGCGTGTTGGTCACATGACAGAAGGCACAACAGTTAATGCACATTTCACTGCATTGGTTAAAGCTGTTAGCACATGAAGAGGATGAATCCTCTCCACTAGAGTGGCAGTGGGCAAAAAGCCAGCAAAAAGACACGACATGACAGATTTATGGCTGAATCCTCGGCATGATGTATGTGATTTGTTTGCTTCCTGTGACTGCAAACAAATTCATTCTTACTTTGCGCATGTACTGGACTCACATTGCAAATTATAGGCAAAGCATAGTTTAGAAAAAAAATAAATATCCCTCTGTTATGGCTAAAAATACAATTTGAAAGTATCTTCCCTTGAAGCAAAGTAAAAGTCATTACTGTGGGTTACAGATAAAATCAGTGTAAAGAAGCTTAAAACACACATTTCACATACAAAATAATCAATGTTTACTTTGCTCTTGGACACTGAACATTACATTATCATAATTTGTTTGTCTGATATCCATTTTCACTCTATATAAAAACTAGCTGTGTAGTTAAAGGCACAGAAAACCTTATTTAAACCATTTTAACAGTTTTTCTCAGCCCAGAGACACAAACACAAGCATTGCAGTGGTTCAGACATAGTTTCTCGTGGTACAGTATAACCTCTCTGAGATAAATCTAATCACACTAGTCACGATGTGTTCTCTGCTGCAGGGTGTTGAATGTTGCCAAAGGGGTCACAGAAATTGAAAAATGACAGTTTAACAGCAGCCTTTCCTTTCAGAATAAGACCAGATATGGACTTTTGTCACAGAGCAGAATTCTTTCTATAAACTGATTCTTCTGTTTCACTTATCACTGATACATTTATCAGTCTACTTCTTCTGTGGTGCACAACCTTAAGCTAGCGGTGGTTATGATTATTAGAGATACTGCTAGCTGGCAACTTTCAAACAGCAAAAGAAATGACAGAGAAGCTGCACCAACATGGCTGCCAGAGACAGTTACAGTAGGTCACCTGAGCTTAACTTGCGTGGGTAATCCTGTGTAGCACCATAGAGTAGGAGTTAACATACATAAACTAATTATTCTTTAGAAAATTCATATTTACAAAGGCACATCATAGTGTGTGCGTGTTTGTGTGTGGACAAAAACTGTGTCCGTGTCTATCTCCTGGAGTGGCCGGCGCTGTTCTCGATGCACAGCACGACGTTGGAGCTGAAGCAGCTGCTGGAGCTCTGCTGCAGCAAACTGCCACTCTGCAGCGGCGACGCCATGCCGGTCAGCACCTGTTCGCCCACGCGCCACGTCTCGCAGAAGCTGTCGACGTGCCGCTCGCCTCTGCTAGTCGACCCGTGCCAGACCATCTTCTCTGGCCTGTGAAGAAACAGAAAAGCGTCATTCCACAGCAAGCCTTAAAGACGTAATGTTAATGTAATGTTACGATTCATGCTGATTTGAGCCTCACCATGTGTTGTCGTGAAGAACGTCCTTGCCATCAAATGAGTAGATTGACACGTTTTCCTTCATTCTGCCGCCGCTGAAGATGTCATCCCAGCTGTCAAACAGAACCTCGTCCTGGTGAACGCGAGGCACATGAATGAGTCAAATTACACTTTGTTGGGAATGTCAAAGCTTTAAAATGAGTCAACACTTAAGCGAGTATTTGAGGCTGGCTTTAATAGAGACTCAGTTCCACAGACTGTATGAAAAGGATGGAAATAGTCATAGTGCCACACATCTCTGTGCGCACCGACAAGCTGAACCAAGGATTTGTATTCATCACTCCATCAGAACCTTTGCCATTGACTCAATTTTTCTTTTTCTTTCAGCATATTGTTTTTGGACTTTTTCTGGCTTTATTAGACAGACTCAGTGAAGACTAACAGGAAAGCGAAGGTAAAGAGAGACATGGGGCAAAGGGCTGCAGGTTGGACTTGAACCCAGGCCGGCCACTCTTACTCATGTGGCATATGGTCGCCTGCTCATCCAACTTAGCTAAACTGGCACCTGCTGAGACCAGTTTTTGTTTGATATTCATACCTCAGCCTTTTCTGTCTGTTTCCCTTGATTCATTCTCAGTTGTTTTAAGGACACACTACACAATATCCTAAAATATGCCAGGTTTTCAGCTAATAGCTCTTTGGAAATCACCTTGTCGCAAAAATAATATTTTATGTCTGTCAAACTGTGTTATCTTTGGCATTTTTCATTGATTCAACCAAAGAAATGGGAACAAATGATGTGGTTTGTGACAGGCTGCTAGTAACAAAGTGTCTAACAATACAATGTATAACTCATTCCTTGTGTTAGCTACCTCTTTTATCACTGAATGATGTGCAGGTCAGTGTTAAGTGGATTATATTCCTTTAAAAATGTTCAGGTACAAAGACTAGACTGACAAATGGTTAAAAAAAGAAATCGGGGATAACTATTTCTGAAGAATGCTTTACAAATTAGAGTGTCCTGTGATGGCACACATTTTAAAAACAGACACGCCCTCCCTCAATTTAAGTCTTTACAAAATCCAAACAGCACAGTAATGCAAATAATTAGCCCGCTGTACAGTTGATATGAAGGGTCAAATTAGTGATTCATAAACTTTATGTGTTTATACTGGGCTGTAAATATGATTACTTCTGCTGTAGGTTTTTGTCCTTTTAAACGTGGAACTTTAGGGCGACTGACTCACTTCTGGGACCATTCTCAAGTGGCCATTAGAGGAACTGCAGCTTTTTGCCTCAATTTTGCCCTCTTATAATCATAGCCTAACAGAGTGATTACAGCTGAAGCGAGTTTTGATCTGAAAGTTAGCATAGCGGTATCTTTGACTGACTGATGGGCAGCTGTAGTTGCTAGCTTGCTCCTGAGTCAGTGGTGTCTTCTAGAGCATTTTTAATCGACGAATATCTTGGCTTCTTGTGCTCCAGTTTTACTGAATGAATTTCTATATTTTATTCGTCTATTATTTAGCACTAATCTGTACCCTTCCATTTAAATATAGTCCCTCATGGCTCTAAAGGCCAACATGGCTACAACTGTAGGGATAAAGTCACAGCAGGAAGAGAACAGGTGATGTCACTGAGATTATGTCCATCTATTTTATACAGTCTGTGAGAGCAATGCGTAAACTTGCACGAGACACTGGTCATGTCAGGTTGGGTGAAAACACTGTTTAACTACCTTCAAGTTGACTACGGATAAATTCTGTCTGTCAGTTTTGCGGACGATGCTGTGGAGATCCTGGAGTCTGGAGGACAGGAAGGCCCGGAAAGTTCCCTTCATCCCGATGGCCTGAGCCTGGGTGAAGCACAGGAAGTCTGCACCGCGGATGCCCCGCATGGAGCCGGTCTGAGGGCTGTTCAGAGCAATCAGGTGGAGCTGTGGGGAAACATGCCAAGAAGTAAAAATGTATTCTTATAATGTGAGTAGCTAGACTTTGAGATGTACCAAGTGGTTTGTCTTACCACTGGCCCTGAAGTGTGATGGTGGACTGGACTCTGGGGTTGGCGTGGGGGTGGTCTTCGTGGAGTGGTGATCGGGTAACGAGAGTCCACAACATAATATCTGTTATCAGGTGAGTTTAACCGGTCTGTATAACTTGGAAACCTGGGATCTGTTAGTTCTGGATACCGTGGTTCTGACTGATACCGCGAATCAGGCTGGTATCTGGGATCGACGTAAGTAGGTTTATAGTCAGGCTCAGCATGTGGTTGGGCCGGACTCTCATGCGGCTGGTTGAAGTGGTTGGTGGAGGTGCCCGCGTGGGAGTGGTGGTCTTGGAAGTAAGGGACAACTGGCGGAGGCTCCACAGCAGCAACCTCATTACCCTAAATATGCAGCATGTGCTTGTTAAAACTGGGCATGTTATATACCTGAATTACCAGATAAAAGATAAATAAAATTATGCTCACATCCTCCCTGGGGAAAGCGATGTACTCCCCAAGCTGAAAAATAAGAAAAAACAGAATGAATATAGATAAAAACTACACATTTAAAGTATTTTTGCATCTTCCGGCTGATTTATAAAGATGAATGTTTCACCTGGACTTGACGAACTCCATCTCGGACTCGTAGGTAGAGATCTGTTTGGTCTAGTATGTACACCAGAGAGCCCTCAGGTTGTCTTCTAGCTGTAGCTGTCATCGTTTCATAAGACCTCAACACTGTCACCTGCAAACACAGACCACAATGTGGATTACTGTGCAGCCGACACGTGCGTTTTTGTTGTGGTTTTAGAAAATTATTCAAAAGAAAAAAAAATGGAAAAATGGATGGACTTCCAAGTTTTATGCTAATCCATCGAGGTATTTAACGATAAATTCCAGCTATTTAATTTGAACACCCAACATTTTTTTCAAGTTCATGACAGACAACCAGAAAATAAACAACTGACTAAAAGTTTTACTCACACCAGAGGTGACACCAGGCACTCCAGGAGGTCCAGGAGGTCCTGGTGGTCCAGGAATACTGATAGCTGTGGTTCAAGCACCGATTTGTTAAACATAGGCTAAATGCTTGGATAAGCATTATTGTTATTGTTGCAGGCGCCAGACATGGAAAAGAGAACGCCTTCTCAAAAGACATGAATCTGAGCACACAGAGATGAAACGCAATGATGCAGTGAAGTTTTCTTCAGTATAAAGTAATCAAATGATAGTTATCTATGGGTAGACAATGAACAGATAATTCAGCACACTTTAAATGCTACATCATTGCCCAAATTCTTAAAACCAAAAACCAAAAAACTAGTTTAAAAGTGTATATAAGCAGGAGGTTTAGCTTTTACAGGCACTTTAGTATCAGAGGCTTTTGTTGATGACAAACCTGCCAGAATTCCATCTATCACATAAAGTTTTCTTGTATATGTGGGGAAATTTTTAGAAATGATAAGCAGCTCTTCATGCACAAAAACTCAGAGAACACTTTAAAATGTAAGACTGTTAATCCAGGTGTAGTTTAAATTAAAGGAGCAGCAAGTCATTCAAATTTTAATATATAAATCACCTTCTTTTAAGAAGTCTTTCATATTTAAGGGATGTTTTCCAGTTTAACTCACTCTGTGTGCCTCTGTAAGATCCATCCAGTGATGCTCCTGGAGGTCCAGGTGGCCCTGGTGGTCCAGGTGGTCCATCATACCCTCTTCCAGGTGGTCCAGGTGGCCCCTGGGGGCCTGGTGGGCCAATAATGGAGTCTCCTTTAGGGCCCTAATAAGACAGGAGGACACAGTCTGATTTACAGCATCTATAAAAACATGAAGTGGCAGTATGTTTTCCAGAGTGTGATCGTACTGGAGGTCCAGGCACTCCCGGGGCTCCGACTCCGCTTCCTCCATACCGGGGGTCATAATATCCTCCGCCTGGCTCTCCTTTCTCTCCTTTCACACCACTTTCACCTTTCAGCTCATTCTGGGTAGACACATTAAAAATCAGAGAGAGCGCCAGCAGTACAATCAAAACTCAAACCGATTTGAAAAACTTAATCTTAAAATATGAAGACATAAAATCTAAAGTGTGCAAAGGATTACCTTTAAACTGTAAATGTCAATGTTTGATCCAAAACCTGGAACAAACAAAAATGTCTTGCCTTAAATTTGTCCACACACTGAAAACTTTAAACATTTACACATCTGTCAGGGACGTTACCTGGTGGTCCCCGATCTCCTTTCTCTCCTTTAACTGTAAAAAAACAACAAGTTAAACAACCGCAAGAACATAGCATTTCCTCAAATCCTGACTTTAATTACTGTAACTGCAATGACCCGTTATTAGAGTCAGGCCAAACAGAAGCCAAACAACTGCTGCTTCTGAACCTTTTAGTTATTGCTAAACTCCACCAGTGGGACGGTGTAATTCACACAGCTCTCCACCTAAACCCTTTTTAAGTCTAAAATCACTGTGGGGAGAAATCCTTTTGAGATTTCTGGAGGTTTTTTAACCGCTGGACCGAGATCAGACAGCTGTTGTATATCTTCCAGCCTTTCTGTTAAGCCAAGCTAACCATGACGCTTCACATTCACCATACAGATATTAAGGTATTATATTGTATTTCTTAAAATGTTGCACTACTCCTTTAAAATGTTTCTCATAACGTTGGCATCTAACATTGAATTTGAAGTGAACTCACCAGCGTAATACCTGGAGTAATCATATCCCTGAAATTAAAAGGAAAGAATTAGGGAACTTTAACTCATTTTGACCGATATATGCACCACAACAGGAAAATATCATGTCTGGACTCACTCCGAGTCTGTCAATAGGAACAGGAGGTCCGGGAAGCCCAGGGGGCCCTGGTGGGCCTGGTGGTCCCTGAGACACAAAAAATAATATTGATTACTGTTTCTGTAAAAGATGACAAATGGATTGAAATCAGGATCTGATAAAAAGGCAAAGTCAAATCTTCAGCACTCACAGGGTATCCATATCCAGATCCACTGCCCGCATCTCCCTTCTCTCCTTTGGCACCGTTTAGTCCTGGTCGACCCTAAAACAAGATAAAGGATGCAGAATGTCACAGTTACATTCTGACATAATGAACTTCTAAAAAAAATAATTAATTATTAATAATGTCTTCCCTCTCAACCCTGCAAATCAAAGCTCCCTAAGATTGGACTCTCTTTTCACAGTTGCTGTCACATAAATCTAATATGAAGAATCAACTGTTTGCCATAGTATTTGCACAAACCACTCCATTTCTGACTTCATACTTTTACACTTTATACTTGTAGCCATGAGATTAGCATCAAGGGTGATATTTCCCTACTGGGCAGTTGTTTGTGTCATTACTCCAGTCAAAAACCTTCCTAACTATGTGAAGGCTTATCATGAAATCTTTGTAAAGATGCCAAACTTACCGATCGGCCAGGAAAACCAATCTCCCCCTTCTGGCCTTGAGGACCTTGTGGACCCTGGAGAAAAATGTACATTGAAGCTCGTTATACTAATCTGATTTTGCTAACTTGTTAAACAAGTCTGAAGTTGTGAGCTTTTAAAATTTAGACAACATACTGGAAATCCCATTGGGCCAGGACTTCCTCTCTCACCCTGCAAATTAAGACACAAGCACACTGTAAACATCACACACAGTGATATTTTGATTTAAACATATTAGGAATGATCACCTGAACTAGAACTATCCATGCCAACACTGATATCGGTATCGGATCGACACTAAGGCAGCTGGATAAATACTTTGTTTCTATCATCAAAGTCCATAATGACAGATTTTTTTTAACTTGATTTTACCGGCTGTCCAGTCAAGCCTCCCAGGAATAGAGGTCTCCCATCAGGCCCCGTGATGACACCAGGCTCTCCTTTTTCTCCCTGAACAAAAAGCAAGAACTTACAAAAATACTACTGGAAACAGTATTTAAGTCACAGGGCTTTTAAAAAATATTGCTGATATTAAAATATTGAACTCCATTTGTTTCCTGTTACTTTAACACAAATTGCGTTAAATAATTTGGAAAGTAAAACGTATGTCACTTACTGAGAGGAATGTAAATAAAAATCATGTTAAATCATGTTAATATGAAAATGTATTAAATTAAAAAACAATGTTGCACAAAATATAATGAATATACATGTCTTAAAATGTGAAATGAACAAAGATATGCACCTACCTTAGGTGCATATCCTGGTGGCCCTGGGTTCCCTTTTTCCCCTTTTGGTCCCATTGGGCCCTAAATCAATACACACAATATAATCACTTATTTGCATTATTTTGAATCAGTTGGATTCCTACAGGCTCAAATGTTTGATGATCATGGTGATACGTACTGGGAATCCTGCCCTGCCTGGAATACCTGGTCCAACCTGAGAAAGAAACACAGTTTGAAAATGCTAAAATATTCTCTCAACTTTATGTTTTGTGGCGACGCTTTTGATAAGATTGTTAGGGGACTGAGGGGCGCATCCACCTACCTGCCCTGCTTCATTCCAATAAAGGTCGTTATACTAGCAAGACAAAGTTAGGTCAGTTAGTATGAATGTGAATGAGCAAACAAGCATGCTGTGGCTATTAGTGAAGATGAGTAACATCAGGAGAAAAATAGATTTAGACAGGCTGTGCTGTGTGGGCTAGTGTTATTTCACATATTAATCCAGAATCATTCAACCTCTGTACATTTACAAGTTGAATGAAGACTCACATCTCCTCCTGGCTGGTAGATGATCTGTCCTGGAGGTCCAGGAGGGCCTGGAGGTCCAGGTGGTCCACCATCTCTTCCTGGCAAACCCTGTTACAAATTGGTGCATTATCAGGCAGAAATGGGTGAGTATGTAATATGTTCAGAGCGTAGTTTAATCGAGTCCCTGTCTGATTGAATATTGCATTATTGAATATTGAACATGCAGATGAAACTTTTGACTGGTACTGAATAAAGGCATCGTCTGCATATAACTCCGATGGTCAGCGATCATAACATTGAGACATACAGAAATAAAAGGACCTAATGTAGAAACCTTCAGACAAAGTTTTGTTGGTAACTATAATTGCTGTCATCGGCACATAACTAAACTCCACAAAAGGAAAGTTTGCATGAATTCAATAAAACTAATGAAAACATAGGTAGGCCCTAACAGAACTTTGAGGCACAACTTTCTGACTGACTTGCGATCTTGCACGTGTTGCTTCTGTTCTAAAGGTTATTTGGGAACTGCATATGCTGATGAAGCTGATATGAAAAGAGCTTCCTAACAACAACTTTAACTCTGCATTCAACTCACCCTCTCTCCTTTCTCGCCGCTGTCTCCCTTTGGACCCTAAAAAATAATCAGGATACTGTATTAGAAGACCATATCATAATATAATATATGATATGGTATGATATTATATAATATATAATACTTTAAGTGTACAGTAACACTAATGTTAGCCATACTTTTCCTCCAGTTGAACCATCCAGGCCAGGGATCCCAGGAGGTCCTCGTGGTCCTTCTGCTCCTTTGCTACCAGGTGTTCCTGGTAAACCCGGATTTCCCTAAAAAAACATTAAAACATATTCTTTACAGGAGTGGTGAATTCATAAAAGTATGACATAAATTCGCTGAATTAAAATGGAATGCTGCTACTAATATTGTTAATAAGACAAACTTTGGAAGACTTTTTTCATTTATGTTAATGTACATATAAAACATAGGTATGGTTTCTCACTTAATATCCAGGATTTTGGGGGGTTAAAAAAAAACTGTGCTTATGAATTGTGAAACAATATGGGACTCATGTAGATGTAATGACTAAGTATCCTTGGGCAAGATACTGAACCCTAAGTTGTTCTGTGATGTGTTCATCAGAGTGTGAATGTGGGCTAAAAAAAGTGCTTCGATGAAAGTGCGTGAATGATGGTTTACAAATATGAAAATGTAAAAAAAAAGGATATAAAGGATTATTATAAATATTTTTAAAACATACACATTTTAATAATCACTTTGTGTGTGACGATGTTGCACTGAGACTGATCCACACATTAAGGAGGAAATACTGCATATACAGACAAATACAGACATTTATGCTACTCTATAGTAAGAGTCTATAAAAAATATTGTAAGCATTTTTTTAGATCTTTATTTTTCTATGTGTACTTTATTGATATTAAAACTAGGCTAAATACTAATGTAATCTTTGTTGTCAGGTCTAATAAGACAAGTCTTAGATTTTTTTTAACTAACCCAGAGCTTATTAGACTGAAAAGCCAACTGAATATGTGATTAACAGATACACAACAGAGCAAATAATTGAACAAATCATTTGAAAACACACATATAACTGATATCAGTAATAAACAGAAAACCAAAGTGGCCCTAAAGTCAAACCTTGAGGCACACCTTTTTATATTTGATTCACACCCTTATACTTTGATGTGAGATTTATACTTTATGTGACTTAAGTAGCCACACTCATGCCAAAAAAAGAGGATAGCTCGGATGCTAAACAAAAGCAAAATTACTGTGGAGAAAGTTGGATTTAATCTTGATTTGAATTGATGTTAATAGGGGCAGGGATGGCTCCAGGTCAGGAGTTTGAATCCACTGAAGGGCTACCCTGAGGTACCCCTGAGCAAGATACCGTTCCTACAAACTGCTCCCCAGGCGCCCAATGGCTGCCCACTGCTTCACTGGGTGAATGGGTTAAATGCAAAGACGAATTTTCCCCATGGGGATCAATAAAGTTTAAGAAGAAAAAATATACTACAGTGGCTTGCACTGCTGTTGAACAGTGCTCCGTGGGATGTTCAAGGCTTGGGAAATCTTTGGGAAAGCCTGCTATAAATTTCTCAATAACTTTATCCCTGACTTGTCTGGTAT